CACACACAAACACCCACACAAACACCCACACACACACAAACACACACACACAAACACACACACACACACAAACACACACAAACACACACACGGACACAAACACACACACAACCACACACACACACACAAACACACACAAACAAACAAACAAACAAACAAACAAACAAACGAACGAACAAACAAACAAACAAACAAACAAACAAACAATCTATCAAACAAACAAACAAACAAACAAACACACACACACACACACAACACACACACACAAACGCACGCACACAAACCAACACAGAAACATAAGCACACACGCACACACACACACACAAACGCGAACACACACACACACACACACACAAACGCGGGCACACACACACACACAAACGCGCGCACACACACACACACACGCACGCACGCGCGCACACACACGCACACACGCACACACGCACACACGCAATACACACACACAAACGCACACGCGCACACGCACACACACGCACACACGCACACGCGCACACCCACACACCCACACACCCACACACCCACACACACACACACCCACACACACACACACACCCCTCCAGGAAAACGATCAAAAACGCGGCTGTCTGGTTGCTGGTTTGTGTCGGCACCCTTGTTTTGTTGATGCAACTTTGACGATTGTTCTTGTTGGTTCCCCTTTTTGTCTCTTTTCTGTTGCTGCCACCCTTTTCGATTGCTACTGTGGTACTTTCGTTCGATTTTGTCTTTTTTTCTTGCAGTCGAAGCGCGTGCGTGCGTTTGTTTGGCCATTGTCCAACCCCGAAGCGCGGGTGAATTTTTGCATGGCTCCATGGGGTGTGCCGAAATGACCCGAGTTTTAGACTTGTGATTTGTTGCGCCTCATTTTTGAGCCACATGCTCAAAACCTGGGTAGATGAAGGTTAGTAAAGGGCAGTCCCAGCCGGAAATAGTTGCGGGTTTCCATTGTGACTCATTTGTGTCCTTAAACTTTAAACCTTGATACCAAACCAAGCATCAACCATGGCTTATGACAAAATCAAACGCCTTTCTCTCGTGCAGGTCTCCTCCGAGCCAAGCACTGACCTTTCAGCACGTAGAATTTCGTGGTTCTCAGTTTCGTTTTGTCCTTTGGAACGGGCTTATTTTAAATAGATCATTTTAAACAGATCATTTTAAATAGATCTCGTTGATTTATCCAAATGGGTTTCGAGGTCTACCCTCAGACCCTCAAACCGTGAGAGTTTGAGGGTCTGAAGGTTTGCGGGCCTGAGGGTCTGAGGGTCCCCAAATGGCTGAAGAAAGGTGTCCTCTTGAGGATTTTCCCGGGTCCGACATCCATTTCCGGGGCCCAGATTGGAGCTAGCCGGCGAAGCCGAGGGGCGGAAGTGTTAAAAATAGAAAAACTAGAGTTCTGTTTCGTTTTCTTGTCTTGAACCGGTACCTCTTCTTCTTCCTTTTCACTGTTCTTTTTTCTCCGTCATTTGTTCCTTCGTTCTTTCTTTCTTTCTTACTTTCTTACTTTCTTTCTTTCTTTCTTTCTTTCTCTTGTCATCTGTCTCAGAGACAGCTAGCTTTCAATTAGTTGCCGTAACATGGAAGTTCCTTCTAACTTCCTTTGATGGTACCCAAGCCACCCCTCTCGGAAAAGTATAGGCAGTGGTTGTAAAAAGATCCAAATGAGCAAGGTTTGTTTTTTTTCATTGTGCAGCATCAACCACCTCAAGCAAATTCAAAGGGAGACCCAAACCCCATTGATGGTTTGAACGGGAGACATGATTTTTTATGGGACACCAAAGAACCGCAACGGCCGCGCAAACGAAATGGCGGCTCGAGGCTTTGAGACCTTGGCCGGGTTCAGCGCTGTGGCGTACCTCCCAGGGCCCCACAGCCCGGGCGCCCGGGCCGGAGTGAGAATCTGCGTCAAGGCTCCAATTCGATGCTTTTGGGCTCTGAAAATGCGTCTTTTTTTGGGCCCCTGAGTCCAGGGTCCCGGTTTCACACTTCGCGTGCAACCGGACAGGTTGCCAACTGAAGGTAGTCCGAAGATCCAAGGTATCGGCTTTGGGACAAGTGCCGATTGCTCACGTTCGTCCTGCTGTTTTGGGAACAAGATGTGGCACGTCCTTGCCAGAGACTTTTTGCTGCTGTTGGACGGCTCTTTGTCACAGCTGCACAGCTCGACGACGGCCAGCTAGGGAAACAAACGCTGACCCTTCGTCCTGGCCCAGGCGAAATGATATGACACCTTCGCTATTCCTGCATTGGCAGTGCCACGTGAAATGGACCTTTGCTTTAGTGCCGCTGGAAGGATTGGAAGGTCAGCGCCCTAAAACACGCATGGTTGTTCGCAGATATTGTTTGCCGGGCTCGCCGGAAACCGTTGATAGGCGCGAGGTGGCAGGGCAGCCGCTTCCCTTGCTAGGTCCCCCAGCTAGGTGCCCTGTCTCATCCCTTTTTTGGTTGGGAGGGGAAACCCCCTAATTACTAAAATAGACTACAGAAGAAAGGGCACCCTTATTCTAGCCTCTCTACTGGAGGACCTAGCTTGATTGTACTACACCTAAGCCGGGCGTTTTTGAGTTCGAAAAGGCAGACTGAACTCTGGGTTTGCTTTCCCCGCTTAACGGGTTTGAGTCCACCTGCAGGTTTCCCTAAACACCGCCCGTTCCACTTTTTGCGACCCTTCCATTCGCCCCAGAAGGGTTGACGAACACCCGGTCAAAGGTTTCCTTCGGCAGTGAGCGCTTGGGTCGTTGGAGCAAACCCAAGCTTCACCATTTGCCATAGGATTGCTTGCTTTTCCAGTTTTGGGAGAGGGTTTCCCTTCTGAAACAACTGACAAAATCTGGGCGCACTTTTGTCCCATGGGGGTCTGGGGTTTGTCATCTGGCAAGCGGGTAATTAGATGCCCAAGGAAGGCAAAAACCCATCAGCTTACTCAGGGCTCCTTAAAAGAAATTCATGTTGCAACCATTTGAAACATGTTGCCTTTTCCACCAAAATAAAGCAAACAACACCATTTACAAGTTGCAATGTTCGATCGGTGTTTTTCATGCATCCGGATCCCTGTTACTCCCTGGGTTCAAAAGAGCCTAGGCTGGGTTGTCTCTCAGTGGCGGGAGTTCTACAACATGGCGGCGGCCTTAGGGCTGACCCCACCTCAATGACCAAACCGCAAGAGAAGGTATGGCTGTGACATTTCAATACGGAACCACCTGAAAAGTGGGTGGTGGACATCAATTCGCACCTAATCCTGTCCACCATTTCGGGTCCCCACTGAAATCCAAGGTCCTGTTCCGAGCTCCAAAACTGCCTACCTTGGCCCACTTTTAGGGTCGTACCTTGCGAGACTTTTGAAATACATGTTCAATCGGAATGCGGATAGAGAAATCATTTGGATACGGGTTTGCCTCAAAATACGGGGGGACCCCTAAATTGGTTGTTTTCCTTTTGGTTTCCCTTTGAAACCAAGGCAAAAATGGCACCCTTAAAACCACTCCCATACGTCTACGTGGCCTCGGTCAGACTTTGGGTTTCCCATACCAACATGAGGGCCGTGGCCCATTTCTTTCAAGGGGTTGAGAGGTGTTCTCTTTATCTCCCTGTGGCAACCCAAGCGTTTCAAATCCAGGCTCCTTGGAGTGACTGCCAGCCAAACGCGGAGTCCCGGATCGGACTGTTGTCTTTTTGCTTTTGTGTCTCTCCCGCGGGTCTCCCGCGGTTCCTACCAAGAAAGACTTTCGAGTTTCGTTTTTTTTTTTCCCCCCGCAACTTGCTGGTTCCGGATGCCATCCGGTTCCAAAGTATTCAAAGGCTTTCATTTGGTTGAGTGGTTGGGTTTCCATATTTACCCTCACTTGTCAGTCAAGCTTTCAGGGATCTGAGGACAGACAGGTTGCAAGGGGTCAACAAATGACTGCGTAAGTTAGGTCCTTTGCAAGTGAGCGCCAGGTTTTCCGAGTGGCCTGACCGGAAACATATTTGCGTCATAGATCTGTTCCACTTTAATCAGTTGCCTTGCAATTGTGTAAGTTGGTTGATTTTGAGATGTCGGTTTTGTTTCCCCCGTAAAGCCAACCAAGCAAGGGCTGCAAAAGAAGTCACACCCCATATCCAAAGAGAACCTTCCAAACACCGTTTTCTGGCCTTTTCGGGGGTGTGGGGCAAGTGCCACAGTGCCACACCTCACCAAATTTCAGGGTGGATCGGGAATCGGGACCCAACACAAAATGTGCTGCGAGCCTATGACTTTGTCACAGCGGGGCTGAACAGCGGCCCTCCTGAATTGCACCAGCACATTTCATGTAAAACACACACTCCTTGTGAGAGGCTTCTTTTGATCAGCCAAACATAGTTGGGTATTTTCTTTTTAGGGGACGCCCCAAATAGGTGGTCTTCCTCTTGGTTTCCCTTTAAACCCAGAAAACAGGTGCCCTCAAACAATAAACACCCCCATTTGTATACGGTATGGTTTCAACTGGAGAGGCTGAGCCATTTTCCAGAATTCGTTCAGGGAAAAGGTAATCAACAAATCACGGCAAGGAAACCATCAGAGGAAAATCAGCAGGCAACTGGGCTTATGATTTTGGTTCTGTTTCTGGGGTCAAATCCAGAAAATGGTTGGGTTCTTTCCCTTTAACCCCCCCCTTAGAGGGGTGACTTTGATGGTAAAATAATGGGGCCAGGGCAACCATGAAAGCCCGCAATGCAAACCGAATTCACCAAACCACATTCAGCCAAGCAACGATTTTGGTACAGAGAACAAATGGGTGTGCGTCAAAATAGGGGGCTTGCATGTGTGTGGGAGAATAAGTTCACGGCTTTTGGATCATGTTGTTTCAGTTGTTTTAGTTGTTGTTTGGTTCTCTTCATTTTTCGTCGGGGGCTGCAATACACAAAGTGTCCTGCTACAACACCAAGGATTGCAAAGGGTAAACCCGTAAACCCCATTATTTTCAAACTGGACCCCACGTGATCCAAAGTTCGAACCGCTGAGGGCCTGCCCCTTCTGGTACCCCACCGGGAGGCGCTTGATGGGAAGCTGGGGGTGTCAGAACCAGGCCCAAACTGAGTGCAAAATTGAGTCCTGCTCCCGCATTTTTGCCCTGAAGAGTGAGTCTCACTTGCCCAAAGCGAATCGACCAGAGGGACCTTTTGATTTTGACTTCCCCTTTTTGGTGCTTTTTCAGGCATGGCCCCAAAAGGTCAACCTTCGTTTGAGTCCTTTGGGAAACTAAGGAGTCGAGACATGTTGCATTTTGGTGGCAAGTCTTGTGATTTTGACAACAAATAATACGTTGACCTAACTCCAGGCATGTGCAATTACTACTTCAATTTGCTTTTCATAATACTTTTCTCTCACAATGTTCCCCTGGTTGGCCAAACATGGGAAACTATCGCAACATATGTTGTCTCATTTTGTTCAGGAGCTGCAAATGCGAGGCTGCCACTGTATTGTTTCCCCCGTGGTTACTTGGGTGTGTGTCATTTTTTAGGGGACCCCGCAAGCCCCCCAACCCAAAAAAAATAATAAGAAGAAATAGTCGTGTGACTTTCCTTTTGGTTTTCCTTAGCCAACCAAAACGGGGTTCCCTCAAGAAGAGACACACCCACTTTGCTCAAAAGGGGAGATTCGCTCGTATCATTTCTACCATCCCATATTCCCCACAACCTTCGACCCCTAAGAGGTGCCAACTGGTGCCGGTCGGCGTGGATTTTGTCCATCCACAGCTCTGGCTGTAATTCTGTCAGGATGGACAAGGTCCTTCACCACCTAAGAAACCCTGGAATGATTCGATCCCTTTGTAGATACCACCAAACGTTATGGTTTCAACCATGGTTTCTTGGGGATTTCGCAACCATCCACAGTCCCCTGAGCGGATTAAAGGGTAAACCGAGTCCGTTCCCCGTAGAACGAGGCCCCTGAAGTGGGGCCCCCAAAGCCACTCGAAGCCTGGTCGCAGGACCTCATGAGCCACTCGCGCTACTGGTTCGAGCGGCTTTGGCATAATCTGCGGCTTGGCCGGGTGCCGATGAGTTTGGGGGCGTGGGAAACGCCGCATGCCCCGAGCGGTGGCTTCCTGGTGCGTGTTGCCCCCCTGTTTGTGCGGTGAAACCACCGATTTTCCTTTCGATTTGGTGGCTTGCCCGCTAAAACTGGACCCCCACAGCGTGTTAACCCGCCAGGGTCACTGAACTACTGGCCTCGTGCGGGGGGTTCCATTAGGTAGACACGGACAGGTGTCACCAAAAGGGGGTCCCCCCAAAAAAGATGTCACGTTCAGGGCTCTTCGACCCCCTAAAAGGCTTGGAACTTTCAAGACGCCTGGGAAGGTTTCTTGGGATTTTTTTCCGGAGTGGGCGGGCGGGCGGCCTTTAGCATGAGGAAGCCAAAGGACGGTTTGGGCGTTTGGCTTTGAGCTACGGCAACTCGAAAGTGCCTCTGTTGTGTTCAACAGTGGGACATGGACCTCCTTGACTTTGCAAGGAACCCTCCCAAACATGGAAGCGCCCGCTCCCAGAAAAACATCGTGTTGCAAGGAGCCTGTGCGCTTCCATGTTTGTTGGGAGGGTACCTTGTGGTACACCAAAAGAAGACCAAGCAGCTTGGGGCACACGGCTGTCATAGGACACCGTTTTGGTTGTCTGGTAGAAACCAGATGGCGATTCTTTGCTTCAGACTACATTCCCTAATACACCCATTGCCAAACCGAAGGCTCTCTTTTTACATTTTGCTTCACTTCCTTTTTACATGTTGCCTCATGAAGGTGTTCTTCATTTCCAACAAACAAGCAAACAAACAAAGCAACAAACCAACCAACCAATAAACAAACTCACTAACCATTGTTTAACGTCTCCTTTCGATTTCCTTTGCCTTTTTGGTTTTTGACTTACCTTCAACCAGCAAACAGTTGACTTTGGTCTAAGTCTGGCCTAGGCAGCTTTTTGCCAACGAATGCGCTCGTTTGATTCGTTTTTTTTAGGATGAGCCACACAATTGGTGGGTTTGAAACTCCTTTGAGAACCTCATTTTTTTTTTTTAAAGGTACCCGCAAAGAATGAGAGACTCAAATGGATTTCGGACCCCCTCTTGAACGCAAGTTTATGAATGCATCGCTGGAGTTGGTGCCTTTTGGATGTTTCTGTGGCTCTTGATGGCAAGTCTATTTCCTGTTGGTCTCCTTTAACCAACCAAAGGGGGTCCGCCACTATAGTGGATCACCATTCAAAATTGTCCTCTTGGTTTTGAAAGCATGGCAAGCGCCTGGTGACCACCAGGGATCCCATGCAAGCCAGTCCAAACCCTTCGCCATTTTCCATTTGGTTAAGGGTGGTTCCCGTTGTCTACTTTGGTATATGGCATCACTGGGTTCACCAATCGGGGTCCGAGATACGCAAGGAGAACCCCCCCCCCCCCCCAAACCTCGGTTATTGTTGGGAAACACTTTGCATTTTTGCTCGTTGTGGTTTAGTGAGAAACCCCCACTTAACTGCTAAAATATAATTTGATTCCCCCCTTTCAACGTCAACCAAGAAGCACTTTCACACGAGGCAGCACGTGCCAGAGGAGAAGTGGATGCCTTCGAGGGCGCACTGGGCGAAGCGCCATCCCTTCTCTCCCTGGATGCCGTTGAAGACATGGAGTTCCCAGTACGCCGGACACCCAGGCTGCATGGGTTCGCGTTTTTGGAGGGTCGCCGTGGGCTGTTTGAGACGGCCGCCCTGGACAGTCTGATCTGCCCAAAGCGAATCGTCCTGAAATCAGCTTCAGGTTTACCTGTTTTGGTCCAGTTTTTGGTCGGTGGTTGCAAGAGCTTTTTCTAGGTTTGTTCTTGAGGGTAGCCGTTTTGTGCCGTTTTGTTAGGCTGGAAAGGGAAGCAGCGGAGTCAACATCTATTTGGTTTTCAGCATAAGGCTCGGAATCCTCATATGGAACACGTTCACAAGGAATTCTCATGTAAATCGTGTCCCACAAACGTCGGTTGAGATTCATGCCCAAGCTTTGCAAGCATTTCTTCACCCTATAATGAACCGGGGAGGGGCTAGGTTCATCTTGCCAGCCTCTTTGACACCCATGCCCGGGTAGAAGTCCGCCAGGATAAATAGGGGACCATTCAATCCGATTCTCGTACGTCAGAGAAGCCAAGTAGGGAAAGCTTTTTGCCTGGTAGAGTTACTGGTAGATCGAACAACCCCCTCTCCAAAATCTCGGATCTCTCTCCGATGATCTCTGGAAGGTCAGTGGCCATGGGTGCCAACATCCAAACGTGATTCTGTTGTACCATGTTGATCGTGTTGCAGTTGAAAGCCATGGCCGCGTGAATTCCTGATTTGGCTTGCGACCGATATCACCCATGTTTTTTGTTGTTGTTTTTCCCTTCTTGTCCTGCGGTTCATTTGGGCGTGCTTTTTTGGGGGAACCTCGTTTGGCGGGTTTGTTTAAGGGAAACCAGAAAGAAACCAGCAAACCCGCTTGACTGCTGTTGGCATGTTTTTCTACCATACCAAGATTGGAAAGCACATTTCTTATTTCAGGTTGGTGAATAGTGAGAAAGTTTGATGGGATAAACTTCAAGGAACCACTTTCCAAATGGCTCAGACTCGTACTCGGGGCCCTTAGGAGGATCCCCTTGTTGGGAGCACTCGACCGGAAGGTTGAAAGCACATGACGGCTCGTTGTTTTGGTTGGCCCAGAAAACGTCTCTGCGAGTCAACCGAAGTGCCCATTTTCATATTTGAGATGGAGTCCCCCCTCCCAAGTCTATCATTCCTAGAGGCACCTGCGCCTTTTTTTTAACTTCCATGTCGCTTTGCAGAAAAACTCGACTAAACCGCGGTCCGTCCGCCATGTTGAAAAGGGGAATGAGTTGCATGCTTCAGACCTGCGTTCATTTATTAAGAGAAACGTAGCCCTCGGGTTTTTTGATAGAATCCACCAAGAAACCAAATTGGGCAGCTTCAACTCCATTTGAGCCACAATCAAAACCCTTTGGTAGATGAAGGTGCGGCCGCCTTCTTATTTCTTTACATGGTTCTGGGTAGACCACTTTAATACCGGGTTCTGATTGTGACTCATTTGGCCACCTGTCTCTCCGATTGCCTCGGGCACGGCTCGCGACTCGATCGCCTGCGCCGAGGCGCAGGCGACAATGTACTGGTCTCAGTTTCTGGAGTTCTTCACTTGGCCGCACGTGCGGCAGCTCAGAGCTCACAGCCAGTCTAGTCTTTCTTGAAGGTACCCGATTTTTAGTTGTTTCAAAGGGACACCTAATGGATAGCCTCTTGTTTTTTTTGTGTTTTTTTCGTTTATTTTTTTTTTTTGGGGGGGGGGTTCCCTAAAAAAAGACACACTTATGTGTCCGTTTGACAGGCCAAAGACTTCACCGGCTTCGCCGACTTCGACTTGTTGCCAATGTGTGGTGTTCCTTGAGGCCCTGAGTCAACACTTTCCAGGTCCAAGTCGGCCGGCAGAATAAAGGGAACCCATTTAATTTTGTTGAGGGGTTTCCTAGTTTGAGACTTTGATCGGCCCGTGCCAAGAATTGACCCCAAGACAATCTTACACCAAAGACAAGGGTTTGGTGTTCGTGTCCTCCGATTAGTGTGTGTTTGATGCTCAGTGGCAGAAGATCGCAAGTCTCACGCGCCTCGTCCGGATTCCCCGGCAGTCACCAGCGCTTTCTCAAGATGTGGAACCCCATTTTGCTTGGTGCCGACGGTTACCCTCCCTTCCAACATGGAACTTGACAAGCTCAGTCAAGAGGAAAGTGTTTGTTCCTGGACCTGTTTTTCCTGGCAGCGCGGAGGGATCTCTCTGGGATGGCATTAGGCACGCTCACTAAATCTCCACTTAAACATGAGGCGACTTAGCAACATCCAATATTGTCTCAGAGACCAGTCAATATTGACCCCGGCTCAAATAAGGCCAACTACGGTTGGTTGGCTTCTTGTAGCTTTATAACCAATGCCCCCTTGTCTAACGTCCGCTTGTACAAGGGCG